TGCGCTGCTAGGGACGTTCTACCACACAGTCGTCAATGGTTACAGCGAAACGCGTATAGCGCAGCAATGCAGACGCCGATCCATATTCACTATCCATCAGAGGTACAACGTGGACTCCGGAATTTGTTTTGTTTTCACATTTCCAACTCCTAAAGTAAATCTAAATCACCCCAATTCCTTGTCACCTCTAACGTTGTTCATGTAATGGCACAAGATGTTATCAATCTCTTCTTCATCGAAATCATGCCTGGTGGTTGTGCTGGTCCAGACACTTCCTGGTATAGTGTGACAACTCTCTGTCCCTGTGACAATTACTCTGCTGTGTTGTCACTCTGACATGTGCTTCTAGTGCAGACTATAAGTGGTCCTGCCAACGTTCATTGCACAGGCGTGGTCCACCGATATCAGGAAGCTGATCATGAGTTATGCCAGAAGCAACACACATCAGAGTCACACATATACATCAGAGGATCCCCATCACATCAGAGGCCCCTATACATCAGAGTATCCCCGTCACATCAGAGGCCCCTATACATCAGAGGATCCCCATCACACCAGAGGCTCCCCTATACACAGAGGCTCCCCCACACACCAGAGGCCCCTATACATCAGAGGCTTCCCATCACATCAGAGTCCCCTATACATCAGAGGATCCCCATCACACCAGAGGCCCCTATACATCAGAGGATCCCCATCACATCAGAGGCCCCTATACATCAGAGGCTCCCCATCACACCAGAGGCCCCTATACATCAGAGGCTCCCCATCACACCAGAGGCCCCTATACATCAGAGGATCCCCATCACATCAGAGGCCCCTATACATCAGAGGCTCCCCATCACATCAGAGGCCCCTATACATCAGAGACTCCCCATCATATCAGAGGCCCCTATACATCAGAGGATCCCCATCACATCAGAGGCCCCTATACATCAGAGGATCCCCATCACATCAGAGGCCCCTATACATCAGAGGATCCCCATCACATCAGAGGCCCCTATACATCAGAGGCTCCCCATCACAGTAGAATCCCTTACACATCAGAGGCTCCCCATCACAGTAGAGTCCCCTATACATCAGAGGCTCCCCATCACATTAGAGGACCCTATACATTAGAGACTCCCCATCACATCAGAGTCCCTATACAGCAGAGGCTCCCCATCGCATCAAAGGCCCCCTATACATCAGAGGCTCCCCATCACATTAGAGGACCCTATACATTAGAGACTCCCCATCACATCAGAGATTCCCCATCACATCAGAGTCCCCTATACATCAGAGGCTTCCCATCACATCAAATCATCAGAGACTCCCCATCACATCAGAGTCCCCTTATACATGAGAACTCCTATCACATCAGGGGCCCCCTATACATGAGAGTCCCCCATTATACCAGAGCCCCCCCATCACCACAAAGTGCCCCCCCCCCCATCCTCTCATCCATCTCTGATTCAGGGCAAACTGGGTCTCATGTTCGTGGCTCTGTGGGGAAATCCAAATAGCATCCCATGGCACCTTGGTTAAGAAACACTAGAGTCTCACCTCTTACAGCCACTGTATTACTGAGATTTACCCACTGCTATGTGTCTCCCACCAATCGTAGTTAATCCTGTACTGTGGGGGAGATTTACTAAACCTGAAGGGTTCAAAATCCGGTGCAGAACTGCATAGAAACCAATCAGATTCCAGGTTTGTTTTTTTAAAACCTTAACCAAACAGGCTGAAGTTAGAAGCTGATTGGCTCCCATGCACAGCTCCTCCAGATTCTGCACCTCCAGTTTCCATAAATCATCCCCGTGTCTGTCCATTTCACTGTACATTAACCCTTTACAATACATTTTCCAGGCACTATGCATCAAAGCCCAACTCAATTCCAGCTTTTTTTAAAAGGAGATCATCAATGGCAGCCCCCTTGTTTCCCTCCTGAATGGTTTCCTTTGGCCCATCACACTTCTTGTACCTCCAGCATGTTCCTGGAGCTCTTCTATCTGTGGAGAGCTTGATGGAGGCTGATACAGGGAAATACAGAGCGCCATCTAGTGGGTCATTTACAAATCTTTATGAAACACTGTCTAGGAGCTAGTATTTACATTGTGAAAGTCAATGGAATAATTAACCCCTTGCCCTCCAGAGGATTTACCCCCTTTCCTGACCAGGCCAATTTTTGCGATACGGCGCTGTGTTACTTTAACTGACAATTGTGCGGTCATGCAACGCTGCACCCAAATGAATTTTATGTCCTTTTTTCCCATGAATTGAGCTTTCTTTTGGAGTCATCTGATTGCCTGTTCCTTTTTTTTTATTTTTTGAGCTATAAACCAAAAAAGACCGACAACTTTTTGCTATTAAACATGTCCAGTAGAAAAATTGTAAAAATCAAACTTCGTCATAAATTTTGTCCAAAATGTATTCTGCTGCATGTCTTTACTAAAAAAAATCCCAATTTGTGTGAATTAATTGGTTTACGTGAAAGTCATAGCATTTACAATTGGCGGAATATATACTGGAATTTTCTTTTAATTTTTACTAGTAATGGCGGCGACCAGCGACTTATAGCGGGACTGCGACAGGCATTCTGACTCTGGGGGGAACTGACATCCCCAGTGACACTAATACAGTGATCAGTGCTAATAAAAAGAACTTTTGCACGGTATTCTAATTTTTTCGAGTTTCACCTGTATATACATGATGTATCAGTGTTCATCACCCCTCACAACATACAAAACCATCTACAACTCTGAGATACATCACTAATCACATCCTAAACACCAACCAAACTGTCCTCATTGTCCCCTAAAATCTCCTGCTCTCTTTTTCTCTCATCGCCTCCAGGACCTCTCCAGAGCCACCCCCATCCTCTGGAACTCACTACCCCAATTTGTCCAGCTGTCTGCTTTTCTGTCCACCATTGTGCAATGCCTGAAAACTCATCTCTTAGAGAGAAGCCTATGCCACCCCTACATAAGAGCTGAGTTTTTATTTCTCCATCAACTGCCCACAGTTATTTCCTTTTGTATCACTTGCCCTTCCTTTTTAGAATGTGAGTTTTCATGAGCGGGGCCCCTTAACCCTCTTGTCTTGAATTACACTCTCTCCCTTCCTAGTGTAAAGTGCAACACAGACTGTTGGCTCTATATAAATTCAGAATAATAGAAACACTTTCCCTGTTTATGCAGTCCCTAGGGTCATAGTCTTCTTTATACTTTTCAGTTAATGTTCACTACCAACTGTTTTTTCCCAGACATAAAGGGAATGTTTAATTGTTTCATAAGCATTATTTTTATTATTATGGATAAATAATATATATTTCTATCCCACCAGCAGGTGGAGCTCTCAATCCCTTTTCAAATGTTTTTCCCTCTTAATTGTTGTTGAAAAAAATTAATATCCTCACAAAAAATTTTTTAACTGACACATCCTTTAAAGTGTATCTAAATCCAATACTATGGCCAGTATAAAAGCCAGTCTACTGGGAACATAAACAAGAGCTGATTTATGCGGTTGTCCAGAGGCTGTTTATTACAATGCCAAGTGTATAAATAATATGCATGAAACTCACAGCTAGACAACTATGGGATGAATAACCTTTAATAAATGCCGGTTTGCAGCATATGTTGACCTTACACCAGCTGACACAGTTTCCTGCCACATTGGTGCATTTCTAAACACCTCCTCTGATGCTGTATATATTGCCCTTCCATGTGTGATTTATCTGTATATTATCCTGACTAGGTTTAGAACACAGACATGTAATAAATCTCTGAACTTAAGGATGAACTACACCACCCCAACCAACATTTTTCCAATGTGAATGACCTCGTTTCTTCTGTCTTTGCCTTCCTGTTGCAATAAACCCTGTCCCCTTGTATCTTATCTTGGTGTCACAAGGATGGAGAAATGCCCATTGGACAATGGACTGCAATAAAAAACATGACAGGTCCAACCCTTCCCTAAACTTAACAAAGAAATTTGGGCTAAGGCCTGGTTCACACCAATGTATTTTTTAGTGCTTTTTGCAGAAACACACTACAGTCCGATTTTTATTATTATTATTATTATTATTATTATACAGGATTTTTATATAGTGCCAACAGCTTTACAAAATGAAGGGAGACAATACAGTTACAATACAATTTGGTACAAGAGGAAACAGAGGGCCCGGCTCGTTAGAGCCTACAATCTAGGAGGAAGGGTTGAGTGATACAAAAGGTAATAGCTGTGGGGGGATGAGCTGATGGAGGAAATAAATGGCAGTTTACTAGGTAGAAACAGGATAGGCTTCTTTAAAGAGAGGTTTTCAGGGATCGTCTGAAGGTGGATAGATTTGGAGATAGCCGGACAGATTGGGGTAGGGAGTTCCATGGGATTGGAGAAGCTCGGGGGAAGTCCTGCAGATGAGCATGGGAGGAGGGGACACGGGAACTAGAGAGCAGAAGGTCTTGGGAGGATCTAAAAGAGCGTGTGATTGATATTTTGAGACCAGGTTGGTGATGTAGCTGGGGGCAGAGTTGTGGATGGCTTTGTAAGTTGTTAGTATATTGAATTTAACATGGTTTTTTATTAGACACGTTCACATATATGCTTTTTTTTAGCAGCTGTGTTTCTGTAAAGGGTCGGGGACGATTTTGAATGCAAAAAAAACATCGTTTTTGCTACATAGATAGTGATGCTGCTGAAGCGCATGTAGTGCATTTTTGTCATATTCTGCCCAGCAACAAAAACATTTCCTCTTTAACAAAAACAAGAAAAATGGTGAAAAATGCAAAATGCAGCAAAAACGCGTGTGTAAAAATGCAAAGCGAAATGCATTGCAGAAACAGATCAAAAGCAAATTGCATAGGCGTGAACCAGGCCTAAGGGAAGAATAGTAACTGTCAGGAAGTTATAGTTGGGTTTTAACTACCATTGTATAAAAGTTGAATGCTTGCACTAGTACTAGTAATACTTTATATGACGGTCGTCTTTGATGTTTGTACTAGTAATACTTTACAATCTTCTGTATGACAGGTGGCCCGGGATCTGGTAAAGGGATTCAGTGTGAAAAATTAGCGCAGAAATACGGCTTCACCTACTTGTCTATCGGTGATTTGCTGCATAGTGATCTGGCCATACGTTCGGAAAGAAGTAAACTCATAAAGGATCACATGAAACACGGGGATCCGGTGCCAACGGTGAGTGCAATTTAAATTTAAACAGTAACAGACATGGTATAGCATCATGTAATAAGAGTCTGCAATCCCTACCAGAAGCACTGTGAATGGCCTGCTGAATGCTGATGCATTAACCTTCCTAGCAGTATGATTATTTCAGATTTTTGGTGCTGAAAAGCGGTACCATTATTCTGCATGGAAATATGTAGTTTTTTATTGTATGCCTGTCATTTATAGGAATAACTCACTGAAATCTGTCCGAACAAGAGTCTAGTAAACATTCCGGGTAGGATAAAACTTGAAACACGAAATCATAAGTTATAATTTAATAAATAATCATAAAAATAATATAATAATAATAAATTTAATTCAATAATATAATCAAACCGAAAACACTGAAATTTTAAATATAGCGCCAAGTTCGCACATCCCTGAGCAAAGTCGCAAAATCATTTTCAGTGTCTGATGACGAATTTCCCCCACGAATCATTATCACTCAATTCTGCAAGTAGTTCTGATTTACTATCGCTGTTCTCTAGCCGGTCTAAAACCGCTTTTGACCTAAAGGGACGCTTTTTGGACGCCATGGACTTTTCCCAGTTTCCAGGCAGAAAGAACAGTCAAAATGCAGGCAGGGCACAGGACAAAGCAGTAGGGACAAAATGTATGTGAAATGGTTTGATACAGGAATGTTTTGCTATGTAATAATCGTTTTTAAAAAAATGTCATTTTTTAAAAATTTCAAATTTGCCGCCAGCGCCCGTACGTCCCCCGACGTAACAGGGACTGGAACACAGGAGCCGGATGCCGGCATCGGCCGGAGGAGATGGCCGGGAACGCTGCAGGGGACGCATCGCGGGAGCGAAGGACAAGGTAAGCTCTGCAGGGACTCACTATGCAGCGCCACATGGTAAGCCCAAGTGTAGCTCGGGGTTACCGCTTTTGGTACTGAAATTTTACCCCGAGCTACACTCGGGAATACCGCTAGGGAGGTTAAACTACATACAACTCATGCAAACCTGTGATGTAAAATAATTAAATAACTTGTGAGGCACTACCTAAATTAAACACGGTTCGTCAGCACCAAACCCATACTCAAGCAATGTGTATAAAACATAAACCAATTTAAATAATAGTGCCGCGCTCCTAATTACTAATAAGACATTTTGTAAAAAATTATTTCATATCTCCCAAGAAAAATGTATAAACAATACAAATATAAATAATCTCTATAAGTGTAATTAATAGTGAACAAAAAAACAATAAAAAAGTGATAAAAAAAACAGTCTCTAGTGATGAAAGTGACAAATCCAAAGTGAGCAATCGCAATTCCCGGTGACTTCTTATTGTATTCTCAATATGCGCTCACCTCATTTAAAGCCTACTGAAAGGCTCAACCAGCTTTTGTTCACCAAATGGAACTATAGATCATATATTGCACCATAGCAGTAGTGGTGAGTATCTCCCAATTGATGTTCCATAGTGGCTCTCCTCTCCAACCTCTATCACTGCAGGGATCTCTCGCTCAATCTCCTCCTTAAGATATTTCTCAGTATAAAAGAGACATAGACATAGTGCCTTATCCTTAAATATAATAAACCTTTAATATGTGCCCATAGGCACTCATATGTAATATAAAATATCAAGCGTTTTGAATATAACATCCACGATATATAACAGCCAGCGTGTCCGCCGTTCACTGTGTGTACTTGCTGTACACTACTTAAAAGTACTTATAATTACTTAAAAGTACTGTGTGTACCTTTAAGTAGTTATAATTCAATGTATCAATATGCTTTATATTGTATCTGTTTAGTAATTTATCTCTATGTAAGCTGTCAGTGTACTTGCCAGTCAATAAGGTGGAGTGACACAAAGTAGCAATGTAACTTTTAAGAACATCGTAACACGATCGCTGGCACGGTCGACTGTAATGGTATGTGGTTTTCTGGCCCCAAAAAGATGGCCGCGCCCAGGAGTACTTCAAGAAAATGGCGGATAATCGCTATATAAGGGAATATTGGTGTAGTGAACGTCCAATCAAATCCCCCTTATGAAGCTGTGTGACCTGCAGTGTAACGCGTAGGGGAGGGGCTACGACGTCACCTGGCACCCGAGGACGGCAAGTACACGCAGTGAACGGCGGACACTGGGCCAGGGCAGCCCTTAAAGTGGTTCTAATTGCTCAAGATTTTTTACCTTCATGCATTCTATGTATGAAGGTAAAAAACCTTCTGTGTGCAGCAGCTCCCCCAGCTCCTCAATACTTACCTGAGCCTGATCATGATCCAGCAATGTGAATGACAGCCTCAGCTGAGACAGCAAGCGTGAGCCATTGGCTCCTGCTGCTGTCAATCACAGCTAGTCAGCCAATGAGAGAGAGAGGGGGGCAAGGCCAAGCGTCAGCTCCTTGTGTGAATGGACCCCATAGTAAGCTGCTTGCTGTGGTGGCACTCGACAGATGGGAGGAGCCAGAAGAACCTGCGGGGGACAAAAGAAAATAAGATACAGGCTGCTCTTTGCAAAACCACTGTACAGAGCAGGTAAGTATAGACATGTTTGTTATTTTCCCAAAAAAAGAAACTTTAAATTGCTTTAGAAAAGTGTGACTAAGCCTGCTGAGCAGCAGGAGAGTTTGGCTGGAAGATGAAGTGAGAGGCTGGGATTCAGGAGCCTGGGAGGGGGCCCAGGAGGAAGGGGCCTACCTCCAGGCAGGATATGGAAAGGAGGATTGCTAGAACTCTCCGGTCCTCAGAGAGAGGACCACCTGTAGAGCCAGGGAAGGAGCCAGCTCAGCAGAAGGCCGGAAGGCAGCCACCAATCCAACCAGCCTGCAGGTAAGGAATGGTGAGTGATCCTACACCCCTTGGGCCAGATAAAGGGAGAGGGCATTCTGATGGGAAACCTGACCGGCCCCCATCTGGGCTTGTGCATTTACAATTACAGATTCTGGGACCCCTTGCTCAAGGATTCCCTCAGTTTAGCTGTATGAGAAGAGGATTCATCTGGGGTCTGGGGTGGTACACCAGGAGAGGCTGGAGAGCTCTCCATGAAGAGATTTTGTTACATAAAGACTTGTGCATAGTTGCTAAGGAGTTTGTCCTCAAGTTGCAGTTCCCTTGGGCATCCCATACACCCCCTATCCCATTCAAGTTCAATACCCCTAATAAAACCTTAAAAAAAAACAAGCTCAAGGACTGTTCACTGTCTGAGGTGTGCAAGTTGGAAGAAAATATTACCTGTGTAATTAATATGTGTTCGGGTTTAAAGGGATGAGGTGGCAACCCTAGTATCAATACAGCTGTGAAGCCCTCAGAGGTTAGTTGGAGAACAGCACCATATTCGGGTTTTAAAGGGTTGAGATGGCAACCTTAATTCATACTGAGATTAAATTACACACAGGTGGACTGTATTTACTAATTAGGTGACTTCTGAAGGCAATTGATTCCACTAGATTTTAGTTAGGGGTATCAGAGTAAAGGGGGGCTGAATACAAATGCACTCCACACTTTCCATATATTTATTTGTAAACAATTTTTGAAAACCCATTTATCATTTTCCTTCCACTTCACCACTTTGTGTTGGTCAATCACATAAAATCCCAATAAAATAAATTAATGTTTTTGGTTGTAACATGACAAAATGTGGAAAATTTCAAGGGGTATGAATACTTTTTCAAGGCACTGTATGCGGATTGGATGCGGTTTGAACTGCTTCTAATCCGCATGGGACATGTGAAATAACATTGCTTCCTATGGTACCCATTCACATATATCCGGTGCACTGGCGGTGCAGATTGAAAAAGAGTCCGGACTGATTTCTGAGCAGTGAAGTCCGGTTCAGGTGCTGATTACAGGCTATTGCCTTTTATGGGAGCCATTTCTAAACCGCACATGTGTGAACAGGATAAAATCCTGTCCTGAGCCTGATGTAAACCTGACCTGAACTGCTGAAAAACTACTGTATCAATTAGCTGTGAAACCTGAGCTTCAATCCGCACCCCACATGTGTGAATCAGCTTTTAGGCTCCATTCACACTAGCAGGGGTGGACTGACCATTCGAGCACTTGGGCACTGCCTGAGGGCCCGGGGCCCCATGAAATGCCCCTGGTACCTTTTTTATAAGCTTTTTTGGGTGTGCTTTGAGTGTGGGCAAGGACAGAGGGGACCCATGATCCCCTATTTCCCTGGAAGCCCCAGGAGTTGTCAGTCCGCCCATGCACACCAGTGCATTTTTTTGTGCTTTTTGTAAAAACGCACTACAGTCTATTTAACATGTTTTCCTATGGCACATGTTCACATCTATGCTTTTTTGAACTGTGTTTTTGGAAAGGGTCAGGGACTTTTTAAAAGCAGAAGGCAGCATTTTTGCTACAATAGGGTTCAATGGAGAAGCTGCTGCAATGGATGGTGGTGCGTTTTTGCCACGTTTTGCATTTTTATTCTGCCTGGTGGAAAAAATTCCACTTTAACTAAAAAAAAAAAAAAAAAAAATAGTTACACCCAAGCACCCCCCCCCCCCAAAAAAAAAAGATGAACAAAACGCAGCAAAAACACGTGTAGAAAAACGCACAACAAACTGCAAAAGGCACTGGAGAAAGCATCAAATGCAAAATGCGTATATGTGAATCAAGCCTACATAAAAGAAAAACGCACGCAATGCACAAAACATTCACTTGCGATACACAATACATATTACTGTGCACACCAGAATGAAAACCATATTTCCAGGGCCAATGTTCTTGGTTAACTCTATACTGATGACCTCTAAGCATCATCTATGGAAACTATAGGGCGTGGAAGTTCATAGTCATTTTGCGCAGATGTAAAGCTTGGTTTGTTGGGTATCTACTTACTCAGCGCATCCTCATCTTATATACCAAGAAATTGGGTAAAACTTTAACTGCCATTATTTTATTCTTCAGGGTCGCTGCTTTCAGAAAATATATACAGGTGAAACTCGAAAAATTAGAATATCGTGCAAAAGTTCATTTATTTCAGTAATGCAACTTAAAAGGTGA